TTATTTGCAAGATGTTGCAAATTAATGATTTTTCGAACTTGGAGTTCGGTCTCTTGTGTACGTGGATCAGAGGACGAAATGGCTTGAGCATTCCAATCAATTTCCGGGCATTCTTTCTGGTACTTGAAGTCTCCCCCTAATGCCGGAAAGTGTTCCTCATTAAATATACAATCAGCGTGACGGGCTGTGAACAGGTCCCCAGTAAGGGGTTCCAGGTACTTAATAATCGACGGTGATTTGTACCCCACATAGATCCCCAATTTCCTATGTGGGCCCATGGATGTCCGCTGTGGTGGTGAGATCGGGATGTATGCAGCACATCCGAACTTACGCAGACGGGAAATGCTAGGAGGATTTCCACGTACCAATTGCAGAGGGGAAGTACTGTGATATGCAGTAGGCCTCAATTGTATCAAGTCAGCAGCGTGTAGAACCACATGACCCCAACAAGAGGTTGGCAAGCTGCAATTCATTAACAAATGTCTTGCAATGAGTTTGATCCTTTTAATCAATGATTCAGCCAAACCATTTTGTGTATGGACATATGGAACGGAATGCTGAACTTCAATCCCCAGGGCCATGCAATAATCATTGAAAGCACGTGAGGAGAATTCTGCAGCGTTGTCCATGCGAATTGTCTTAATTCGACTTTCTGGATAATGGGCTTGTAACTTAATGACTTGCCTCATTATCTTGGCAAATGCATGGTTTTGTGTGGACAGAAGACACACGTGTGACCATCGTGTAGATGCATCAATTAGAACCATGAAGTACCGAAAAGGTCCAGATAATGGTTGGATGGGACCACAAATGTCTCCTTGAATACGTTCAAGAAACTGAAGTGGTTCAGCTTGTATTTTGAGGTGAGAGGGTCTCAAAATTAGCTTTCCCGTGGCACAAGATGTGCACACAAAGTCTGAAGATTGAGGAAATTTTGACTCAAGCAAATTATGACCAATGGAATTGCTAGTAATTTTTCTCATCATCCCGATCCCGGAATGGCCTAGGCGATCATGCCAGGTTTGAAATGCGTCAACATTTTGAAAAATTACTTTGTATGCAACATGTTCTACGGGTTTGATGTACGTATAGTACAAACCTGACGATAGAGAAAGAATTTTTTCATGTACCTGCTTGCCATATCCATGATCTTTGGTGAAGAGTAGATACTCCTCTTTGTTGTCTTCATGAGTTTCAATGTGAAAGCCATTTTTACGGATATCTCGATAACTGATCAGGGTACGTGATGAGTCGGGATACAACAAAGCATCCTCAATTGTCACTTGTATACCACTTGGGAGGGTAAATATGGCACGTCCAGTGCCAACGATTACCGTATCGCGTCCAGCAATAGTTAGAATATCTCCATTCATCTTTTTCAGAGTTTGAAAATATTTCATCTCCCTCAGTATGGAGTTTGTGGTTGCACTATCCACAAGGCATAATTCCTCTTCCATCGGATTGTCACCGTAGAGAACTATATATAAAACAAAGAACTTTCAATAAGAAAATCTCATGTAAATACATAGAATACAATCTTATTTATATCAAATATGTTAGTACAATTACAATCTTATTATATCAAATGTGCTGATACAATATAAGGACAACAACAATACTTATATTCTTATTACAACATCACAAATGGACATAGCTAAATAGATCACTATGGAGATTGTGGGACTAGTCAAAGTCTCCAAACACTTCGTTTGAGGTGTACTCAATCATCATGTTTTCCGTGTCAGCAAGGTCCTCTGGCTGATGGAACGCAATGGTGTTGCTCGGTCCAGGAGGAACGTCGTGCGAACTACCGGCTCCATTGGTGATGTCTGAATGAAGGTTGAAATTGGCTCCGAACCTCTTCCCTTGAGGTGCTTTGCGTCCCTGAGATTGCTGGTACAACATAACCAGATGCTTTGGGATCTTGCACTTGTCGGTGGGGTGCGTGTAGCATCCACACTTGTTGCAAAGCAGAGATTTATCATGCTTGGGCTTTGCAGTGCCTTTTCCCTTGTCTGAGTTCCTAGACCTCCTGTTCCTAATGCGCTTTCGCTTGTTCTGGACATTTGATTGATTGCCTCTAAAGGCACCATCAAACTTCTGTCTATTCGCGACATTCATATGAACTTCAGGTAAAGGTTGTGCCCCAACTGGGCGTTGAGAGCCATTCTTAGCGAGTAGCTCATCATGCTTTTCAGCCTAAAGTAACATATGAATAAGCTCCGAATAGACAGTATAGTTGCGAGCACGGTATTGCTGCTGGAGGATCCTGTCTGAAGGGAGCATTGTAGATAAAGTTTTCTCTATCTTCTCCGCATCAGTAGGTTCCTTCCCGCAAAAGCGCAGTTTGGAACTTATCTTATGAACCTTGTGGTTGTACTCACCGATGGACTTGAAATCCTGAAGACGAAGGTGAGTCCAATCATGGAGTGCTTCTGGCAGGACAACTGCCTTCTGTTGTTCATATCTTGTTTTGAGGGCTAGAAACAGAGTACTGGGAGATTCCTCCTCTAAGTACTTAGACTTAAGATCTGGGTGAATATGATGCCTTATGATGTATAAAGCTGCATAGTTTTGTTGTTCTGTCAGTGGCGTGGTTCCGGCCGGTAGAGGAGTCTCCGGGTCCTGGATTGCACGCGCTATCCCACGGGAAGCAAGACTGATCTTGACGTCCATGGCCCATGTAGGGTAGTTGTGGCCATTGAGGGTAAGCTCCTCAAATTCTTTTGCGGTCATCGTTTACCTACATGGATGAACCAGAGATAATTAATTTACTGAGGGTAAATTAAAAACCATCATGGTTGTATTGTAATAATGGTGCAAAATTTGATACTCAAGTGAAGAACTTGAATAATGTAGACCTCAATTGATTGAACATAACACGTCCAAGATCGCATGGATCTCACAGTAATAGGCTACATAATCTGACAATGTCAGTAGATGCATTTGTTTCTATTACTGTGTGTATGTTATCAATTCAAATATAAGGAAATGCATATTCAAGGTAATCATTTGTCGAATTGGACAAAATATAGACCGTGATTCCAAATATAATGAGGGAGGCGTGTATCAAAAATTTGCAAGTTTGTTGTACGAGAGAAATTAATCTCAATCGTTGGAACATGTTCTAGAAAATTGGAATGTGGTAAACACATTGAACATGACATTTCTAGATAATGTTGGTCCTTTATTTACATTATCAAATACATTACATAATGTAAACAGCCTACAAATATTTACACAAGTCCTAAAATAGAGTAAATCTAAATACCAGACTAGAATGTAAATAACTACATGTACATAGGCTAAACAGTACTAAAACAGTGATAAATTACTGCTACAACTACTGTTAAAAGGATTAAACAGAAGAAAGAAAGAGAAATTTCTGCAATTCAGCCCGTAGCCAGGGACTATCTGGGCACAGGCCCAAAGCCCACGTGGAGTGGGGGCGGTCGGCTGGCCTTTATACGGCTGGTGATTAGGGATCGAGGGATCCCAATCCTCCCGACCAACTCCTGTGCGCCGCCACCCCCACACACTCCATTGCTGCTGCTCACAAAGTGGTCATCGACGTGCCTCCTTCTTCCTCGGACGAGGAGATGTAGACGACGCCGGCAGGGACGCCGTTCGGCAGATCGGAGGCAAGGTCGGAGCGACGACTTGGGCGGCGGTCGATGGCGGCGATAGCGCGGCCGAAGAGGCGGCGGCGACCGTCCATGCTCGCGGAGTCCAGGAGGCGTGGTCGGGCGGCCGTACGCGGGGGCGGCGGTGCCTCGTCCGGGACGGTGTTGTCGGCGCCCGGAGGCTCGACAGCGACGCGACTCGGGCCGGCGTCCTCGTCTGCAGGCGGCGCCACCAGCGTCGGTCCAGCGCCTTGGCTCGCCACTGAAGCGCCGTTGGGGAACGGCACGAAGACGAAGAATCCCGGCTCATCAGCCGGCGCCGGAGGCGGAGGCGGAATCCGAAAGGGAGCCGCGAGCCTGGGCTCGGGGTTACCATCTCCTACGCAGGCGGAGCCGGCCACCGTTGGGGCGTGGTCGCCGCGAGCAGCAGCGCGATGGCCGTGTCCAGGTGCGCGGAGGCCACGTCCAGGGCCGCGTAGAGCAGCATGGTGGCCTTTTCCAGCGCCACGACGTCCAAAACGGCGGGGGCGGTGCACAGCCCGGCGAAGTCAGCGACGCCCGCCTACTTGATGATGGCGACGGGCGGCGAAACGGCGACGGCGGCCGTCCTCACGGATGAGGCGGAGGAAGAAAGAGATGAGTCCAGGCATCTCACCGTTGGCGAGGCCTTCGTGTGCTCTCGGCAGAGCGTGCGTGATAACGTGTTTGAATGAAAAGATTAACTTGTCTTGATTGATAGAAATAGTACAGCTTATATATGTTTGGAAGAGACGCATCGCACAAGACGCGATGGTTGGAACGACAAGGGGAGATTTCCCTCTAATTAATATGCGCTAACTAATCACAACAGTTCTACTCCCTGGCATTGCTGCTGATTTTGGCCTCCACGAAGCAAATTCATGGCCAAACCAGCCGAATGATAGTATAGCACAGGGCGGTCACATGAAATAAAGAGAGAACCCCAGGATCAAATATATCCTGCCAGGACTAGCACATTGCATCTCATTCATGTCCAGAAGCATCACATTAACCATGCACATGTCAAACGAACATCACATTAACATCACTTGTAACCTCTCTACAAAGTCACATGGGGCACAGGCACAGAAGGCCCAAAAAACAGTCCGGTTGAGCTGCAGTGGTGGACTTGACACCACTGATTCAGCAGATCGCACTTTCTCCAACACACCGCGCTCAGGCGGTAAAACATGGTTTACCCTGCATCATCCTTGGCCCCTGTCAAGCATCACATGCAAAAACCGAAGGGCCCTAGAAACGTTGTGCAACGAAAAAACCACTAGGACTTGAGAAGCAGGAAAGGGCGACCCGCCCCTAGGACGGCGCCAGAAACCCTACAAAACAAGTAAAAACATGCCGCTACTGCCCAGCAGACGGCTTGCTCGACAGCCTACGCTTGTACCGCTTGAGAACTGAAGCCAGGTTCTCCTTCCCTTTAGGAAAAGCTACGTCTCCTGCGGCTGTTCCGCTTCGACCCTTGCGTCCACAGATAGCTACTTCCACGTCCCTGATCGTCTCCAAGATGGCAGCTGAAGTGGTGAAGGTGCCAGAAATGGGCCTGGCACCCGGGCCTGTTATCTGAAGGCATGCGCACCCGGTGAGAGGTTTCCGGGGCTTGGAAAAGGCGGGTTCAATGATTCCCTGCGTAAGGTAGATATATAACATCAGCAAAAACCAAGCAAAATGAACCCAGTAAGAGTAGGTGTTTTGCCTCTGCATTCTCACAGCAGCACAATCTAACAATCCAATACAACTGAGCAAACAAAGCCCGTTATTTATGTTTGTCTTTTTCTCAAGGAGAAATCGCAAGAGAGATGCCAAGTTGAGAATTAAGGTAAGTTTGTTCCACTTGTGGATTATATACAACTATAAGTCAAACTCCAATCTATGCAAATGCCATATATAGTAGTGGGTCAGTTTATTTGCATCGTCAAGTACTCCCAACAGCATAGCAAGTTGATATGTGCCCAACTTGCTATGCTCAAATAAATATGCATTTAAAGTAACTTAATGGAAGGTGAGGTTAATTTTCAAAGTAATGCAGTCAGGATGCTTATATAACCTTTGCTACATGGATGAGTCAACCAATGCCTGGATCCTTCTTTCAGGGGTAGCCACATTTTGCACTCCTAGTCCACAGATCCAAACAGAAACTAGCCCCTTTTATACGGGAAATACACAGGAGCACATGGGTGCTCCACCCCCTATACAAAAATTAAATTAAAAAATACCAGGAAAATTAAAAAAAACTGAAATTTTGGGATATCAAACTTGGGTGCCCAATCTACTCGCGTATGAAGTTTCATAGAAAAATACCAGGAAATGTATCCGCAGCGAAGAAAATACAGTCCAAACTAAAATCCATCCAAACCGGTTTTTTTCGGTACATAGGATTTCTTTGTCTTTTTTGCCATGGATATGTTTTCTGGTATTTTTTCACGAAATTTCACATGAATGTAGATTGGGCACCCAGGTTTCATATCCCAAAATCCCAGATTTTTTTTGAAATTTTCCTGGTATTTTTTTGAACTTAATGTTCATATAGGTGTGGAGCACCCAGGTGCTACAAATCCTCTTCCCTTTTATAATCTCTTTTGTACATTCTCTATAATCTCCCCCTGCTCTCCTTGTATTTTTGTTAGCTGCTCTCACCTCAACCCCCCTGCTTTCCTTCCCCTGACCTATGTAAATAGCTTGTATAGTTGATCCCTAACTTACTATAATAATAATAAAAATCAGTGGGGGCCTTTCCCGCTGTCATTTGCCCTAAAAAAACATTTTAATGGTAAAAGTACATAAGACGAAGGAATCACCTGAAGACGGTTCAGAACATATGTGTACTTCCCCCAAAGTTCCGGTCTACTTTCCACAAGGGAAAGATCCAGTACCCGGCGGATACACCAGACACCAAAACTAACAACCAGGGTAGCCTGCCAAACGCAGGTTTCACCACAACCGCGCATGCGCAGAAGATCAGCCGACAACAGATTCTCAGTTGTTTCTTGTGAAAGTCTCTCAGCTGCTGCAACTTGATCAATTAAATTTTCATCACAACCACCATTTTGCCTAAAGAGCCCTCCTGATCCTTCCAGTTTCAAGATATTCATGATGCAGAGCCTAAGACATTGAAGAAGCTCTGCCTCACACTCTGTGTAAGAGGAATCATCCTTTGTCATGCCACTTGATCTCTGGCCAGTGTTCACCTCGCTCTTATTCAATTCTGCACTTGACATACCAAACAGCTGTTCAAACGGTTGTTGGGCCCAAAGGGATTTATTGTTGGGGTTCATACCCAACTGCATAGAAAGGACATCTCTTTGGAGATTATGTTGTGAGCGCTCATTAAATGCAATTTGGGCTTTGGACCTGGCTGCCGACTCCACATATTGTGATCTCTCAGATGCCAGCTTACTTGGGTATGCTTGATTTCCGGCAGCACCACCAAAATTTGCTTCGTTCAACGCAGCCTTTCTGCTTGCAGCAATTACTGCAGATATGTCAGGTGAACTGTGATACTTCTTTGAGTATCCAGGTGAGCCAACACTTTCACTTTCATCAACAGAGGTAGAATCATAATAAGGTCTCTCGACCGTTGCATTGAAGCGATTCATTGCTGGGCTTTGTGGAGAGTTAGCTCCCAATGAACCCCGTAAATTTTGGTTGCGGGCATGCATAACAGGATCAGCATAGTTAGGAAAAGAATGTTCAGATAACCTAGGAACCCGTCTTGGATCCAGGGGGATGTTAGAGTGCTGATTTCTACTTGCATTCATCCCTCTCAAATATGCCAGCTGATATCCATGAATAGTAGCAGGCTGATAGAACTGATTATCAGAGTAAGATGGCATATTGAAATTTGAATAGTATTTTGGATTTTGCTCAAGTAAGCTGCTGCTTGAACTCAAAATGTCTGTATATGGTGAATTCATGTTCTGAGACCAGTTGGATGAACCCATTGGACCCATCTGATGCCCAGAACTCCAGTCTAGACTACGGATATCCTTATCACGGGACATCGAGTCCCACGAGTTCAGTGAGGTAGCTGATGCTCGCAGCGCATCTCTCATCAAGGGGCTCTTTGAAGCTTCAATGGTTTGGTTATCAGCCCTCACAGCAGAATTAGCTGCTCTCAAGTCCAGTCCGAGCAAAAAGTTATACCTTTTTTCATTAGCATCTTGTGTAAGCTTACCATGATAATCAAAAAGATGCCCCCAGAACTCGTCAAGATGTGCTGCTAACTGCTTCCTTGCAGCACGGCCCAAACCAGACTGTGTCGAGAGGCTGCCACTGCCAGCATCAGAGTCTTTTCCCCTGCTGAAAGTAAGAGATGGTGGACCATCAGGATTGGAAGGTGCTCTGCCTCCAGCAGACTTCTCATGTTCCAAATTATGTGAGGCAACACTATCCTTGTCCCTGCAAACTTCTGCTACTACTTCAACATCTTTTTCAGTTGCGCTCTTCCGTTTGATGTTCTCTGCATGAATATGTTCTACTTCACTGGCTGTAGAAACCTTTGGTACCGACTCTGTCCAGTCAGCCACACAAACTGGTTTTGGCTCTTCATGGTAGACAGGTGGTGAGGGTTGAGCTTTAGGAGTACTCACTGCATAAGCAGTTGATTGTTGACTGTCAGGATCAGACTCTACAGTGGTGTCAGAACTTTCAGTATGCTCCAAAGCTGATTTCTGATGACTTTGATGACTTTCCATTGGATCCCTGAGAATAGCATCAGTAGAAGACCTTTGAACTTCTTCATGGGCAACATCTTCCAGAAAAACATCTTCTCTATGGTGAGTACTGCCCAATGGTTCTCTCTGAGAGTGCATAGAGAACTCCAGAGTTTCAGCTTCATTACTTGCAGACTTCAGTGGAGTAACAGCCAGAAACAGTGTAAACAGAAGACATGAACATGAAATTAGGACGATAAGAGTATATGGAAGTACAACAGGGCTCCCGGTGTTCCCTTTCATGCTGTTTGTCCAGGTGCTATCACCAAACAGGATTTCTGCCTTGAAAATGATGTTTGTAAATAGCATGAGAAGAAATGCGAGAAAGGCCAATATTTCAACAGATGAAGATATTCTGTAGTTGCCCATTATTGATCTTGAGGAAGCAACCCGGAAAACAGGTATAACAGACGCAGGAAGGAGCATAGCCTGGATGACTGGACAGATGATAATTAACTGATATATCGCTTCTGAGCCCGCAACCTTTGCATAGTAGATTGTAGGAATCATGGCAAAAACCTTGAGTAGCAGATGATGTGCCGAAAGAGAAAGGTTTATACCAAAGAAATTCTCTACAATTGCATGGCTACCAATAATAGATGACAGTGAGACGATGTGGCTCGAAAGGAGAAGAACCATTAAGAACACAAGCGGCGCTGCAGGATTCATGAATATCTGCAGAAGACAAGATTCAGAAAAACTCAGAATATAACTTCAATGCAGGACTGAAATAAAAAAAGGCAATGTCGCAAATAATTCAATATGTGGGATAGGGGGGACATGTCAGATACAAAACTTAAAAGGTAAGTAGGAAGTACAGAAAGGAAGACACGGACCTGGTTCATTAGCTCTACAACATCTTGAAAGGTCAGGAGCAGTGTATCACCGGATCCAACTGCTGCTGAGCTTATCAGAACATAGTTCACAAGAAAAACCCCAGAAAAAATAAATAAGATCGAAACAAGGTGGTCATGAAATAAGGCCCCAAGTGTAACAGGGGATCTTCTTTGAGCCTGCACATATGATATTCAAATTAACATAAACAAGGTAAAGGGGGTACAATATGCAGAGTACAAATTAAGCAAAATAAACTTGTTTCTCGAATCAACAAATGAAGATGTACTTGATGTGTTATATAACTGTTTGAATTTCCAGACCTCGTAAGTCAAAGTCATAACCACATAGGGACAGGCTGCAGAATGCTGGTGTTTTAGCTATCATTTTGTTTACTGAGAAGTCCAACTGATTATCCATAAATCAAGTTGAGTTTTTCATCACACTTCATGTAAGGTAGCATGAACAGGTTTGCCTTTTCCTTTTGTGAGAAAACAAGAACATAAATTACATATCTTCTATCATGCCTGCGCACAGACGCACACAATTCTTTTAGGGATTAACAAACCACACCAGTATATCATACCACAAAGTCATCACTGGTAACAAGGACTCGGGATCTAAACTTATATGGCTTAGTGGGGTGTTTACAGACTAAGATTGATCTTGTCTAACAAAATGCAACATGGATACTGGTTAGTTAAGATTGTGTGATAACTCTGCTGAGAGGGAGAGAATTGTGCTGTTCACAAGTACGGAGTATATGCCTACCCATTACCGGAAAAGGGGTATATACAAGCCTTGCATGAGCCAACCTAGACTAACAGACCTATACACATGTGGTACAAACTCAAGGTGGATCTGAGCCACCTAGTTTTAGGGTACAAAAGTATGAAAGCTATGTTGGTATCCATTATGAGCGGTGAGCCGGTGAGAAATCTGTAACTTAAAAGTCTTGAAGGTCAAACAGAAAATACTGAAGATCGTTGACTGCTAAGAGTGAGAACGCATGAAGGCGCCATATCAAATTACTGAAGGGAAAGCCTTACATTGGGCCAAACGGGCCTACAGGCATCTGCACTTAAAAACTTCCAATGGAAGATAAGGTGCTATTGATGTGAAACCAGCACAACAAGAATTCCAACAGTTTGTACTTTTTCTGGTGATGAAAAAACCAGCTTTGTATCGTCTATGATGTATTTAGTACTGTCAGTGGTATAAGTTGATACATCTCAAGAAAAAGGTGGCATAACTTGATTGACAAAATATGGAATGTCGTAAACACCATACACGGCACATTCCGAATTATATAAGTTTAAACACAGCCACACGAACTTGATATGGAACTGAAGACAAGTTTAAAAAAAATTAAGGGCCCCAAATGTAACTAATGCACCACACTACCTGAATATCTTTCAAGTGACCATGAACAAGAAACACGGAAAGTACTTACCTGTACAAATGATGAATGAACATAGAAGTTGTGCGCTATTACATTTCCACCCAGAAGTGCCATGAGCGAGTAGGCACTTTCACCACTCAACTTGGGGAACATCACATCCATATCGAGAGGAACTCTTGGTTGACTGACCAATAAACCAAGCACGAAACAAACAAGTGCGAGACCTGCTATGCAGGCATTGAATATTCCAGCCATCTTCTTGTCCTGTAATGGGCAGAAGCAGGAGCCAAGCGCACGTAAGAATTTGAGAAGGTTCCTTGTACGAGATGCAGTTTTTATTAAAATTACCAGATGGGAGATCGCATATGGTAGTAGATTAACTGCAAAGCTTGCAAACCATATGCCTGTGACAAGGTCATCGTACTCGAATACAAGGTTAAACCCCATTGCAATGCCTGATATCTGAAATAACCAAACATCACCGTCAGACCATCAAAATTTTGGAACTTGGGAACCAGTAACATCACATGCTTTGGCAAGTTAATGCATGTATCACATAGGAAAAGAAAATTTCCGGAATGAAGCACTGACAGAACATATAGATTTGTGAAAAGTGCCTAGACATACCATGGTAATCTCTGCAGTTAACAAGGACAGCAATGCCTGAACACCAAGGCCAACACATATTGGCTGACTGTACTCCTGGACGCATATCTTCATGTTCATGTACAAGTATTGCAACAAAACAAAAATCAAATTCCCGTAGAACGAATTCGATGCATACAGCTGAATGATACAGAACAATAAAGGACAACATTTATTTATTTATTTGAAAGGAAAAGGACAGCATTTTATTTATTTATTTGAAAGGAAATGGACAACATTTAGAAAGAGCTGAATTCTCTAAAGGTAAAGGGAGCCAAAAAAAAGAGGAACTTTGGGTGGGTGATTGCTGGTTGCTGCCTGCGTGCGGCTGTGGGGTAATGCCTTTTGGCTTTGGGGGCGTGATTTTGCTCAAGTTTGCTACCTGCGTGCAGTTCTGGATAGTGTTCCTCTGGTTTTGGGGGCACTGATTATTCATGTACACTACCCAGCTTTACCTTTCAGTTTGTAAGAAACTTTGTGTTTTCGAATGGCCGGGTAACGAAAATTTACCTTTTGTCTTAAAAAACAAAGAGGAACTTTGATTACATGGGAGCTATTGTATCATTGGAGATCACCGTCAATCGTATCTAGGTCATCCATGGCGACTCGCTAGAGCTGTTTGAATAACTCTGCAAAGCAAGACGAAGAAGGAAGCGAGGAGAGTGGTGGTTACCTGGGCAAGATTCTTGGTAGTGACCATGCCGATGCATATGGAGAGGTACTGGCAGAGGACGGCGGAGAAGTTGAAGAGCAGCACGAGCAGCACGAGATCATAGCCGAAGCGAGAGCCGGCGTCCACGGTGGTGACCCACTTGCCGAGGTCGATGTACCCAATCGAGATGAAGAGCGCCGGGCCAAGCGTGCGGAAAAGGTTGCTCCGGCCGCCATCTTCGGCTCCCAGGGACTGTGCTAAGCTCCGGACGCCGTCCATGGCGGGCGGAGCGAGAAGAAGCGCGCTAGCAACGAACCCAGAGACGGCGGCGAGCAGGCGGGATCCCGGCTGGCACTAGACTAGCACAGCCAGCGATCTGCGTGACGGGGAGGACGGATCGGATCGGGGGTCGCGGGCTTGGTTGCCTAGGGGTGCGGGCTGGGATCGTGGGGAATGGCGGGG